TTGACATTTTCCCATTTTGTAAAGATAGCGTTTCATAAAATTTTATTTATAAATTCCATCATACTTTGCTTTTTTTTTTGTGAAATTGGAAATGATTATAAAAATCGGCCACCATTAGGTTATTATATACCACCCGAAAAATTTGAGAAGAATTATATTCGAAAAATACCAACTACACCAAGTTTCAACTGTTATTGAAACAAGAAATAATAGGCATAGGTTTTTTTTAGGTATTTCATATTTTTATTTTGTTTGCGAAAATCCAAGTTTTAATTCGAGCCTGCTCAACTTGGGGATTCTATCCGAATAAAACGAAAAAAATGTTAAGGCAAAATCGAGCGTGGAAATGATTGAGGGAAAACCACAAGAAGTAATTATCCTAACTTCCGAAGAAGAAAAATAAAAATTAATGGGGAGTTTTTTTTGTAGAACTTCCCGCTCAAAAAAAGTTTACAATTTTCCAATACTGTTTTTTTTTTTTTTTTTTTTGATAGCAATAAAACGAATAAACGATTAATATTAAGATTGCTGTTATGAATAGAAACTCTAGCTCAACTCAATAATGATAAAGATTTTGTTTTTAATTCTCAACAAATATCCGAGCAAACATTGTAAAATTTTATCTATTATACAGTCAAACCTTGTTTCAATGAATTATAATTAAATTCGTTGTAACATGATCGGTAAGTTTGATATAATGAATTTTAAATGCTAGATTTGTTGAAACAAGAGATTTAACTGTATGAGGATTTAAAAAACATTTTCATTAAAAGTACAAATAATGTTAAAACACGAATCTTAAATTGTTCTCATTTGAAATTTTTTAGTCTGCCATATAATTATTGGTGATGGCTTAAATGTTCCAAAATTCAAGTATGTTATAAATTAATTATAGAAAAGATACTTTTATTGTTATTTTTACTTTATTATTTTCAGTGGCCTGCAAAATCGTGATTTTGTCGAGTTCGAGCTAATGCTTTTTTTATGTTAAGTATAAACTCGGTTCAGCTCGTTCTGAGCTTTAGATTTATATGATTTTTTAGATACACAATACTTAAACTATTTTATTTTTTAATTAAAGAAATTGTTGAGATTGCAGAACTAAATGAAATAGACCATCTTTTATATACATTTTATAAAGTTTACGTTGATATTTTATTGATATAATAAATGCACGATCATACTTTTGAATTATAATGGATGATTTCTGTCAAGAAAGAATCTCAGTTCTAGGAATAAATTGAAAACAAAAATC